ATAGGGAAGGGTGGAGGGGGTGAAGGGAGGGCAGGGCAAGGGGAAAAAAATAAGAATCAAGATACTCATGTAATGGTACAAGATCCCAATGATGTATGTAAATGCATTTTATATCTAAAATGTACCAATAAACTTAATGGGGGGGGAAAAAACAAAGAAAAATCAATAGCATTCTTGTACACAAACAACAAACTCACTAAGAGAGAAATCAGGGAAAAAACAGTTCACAATAGCATCACGAAAAATGAAATACTTAGGAATCAATCTATCAAAAGAAAGAAGACCTATATATAGAAAATTTCAGTAGTCTGAAAAAGGAGATCAAAGAAGATATCAGAAAATGGAAAGATATTCCCTGGTTTTGGATGGCCAGAAACAATATAGTGAAAATGGTCATTCTTACAAAACTGTTATACAGATTTAATGCAATCCCAAATTACCAATACCATACCTCACAGAACTAAAGAAAATAATCCTAAAGTACATATGGAATCAGAAGAGATCTAGACTAGCAAAGTCAATTCTGTGCAACAAAGGCAAGGCAGGGGGCATCACAATCCCCTATTTGAGGTTATACTACAAAGCTACAGTGATAAAAACAGCATGGTACTGGTAAAAAAAAAAAACACAGACTCAAGGATCAATGGAACAGAATAGAAGATGCAGAACCCTAAACACACTCAGCTACCTTATCTTTGACAATGGGGCCAAATACTTGCACTGGAAGAAAGACAGCCTCTTTAATAAATGTTGCTGGGAAAACTGGCTTTCCACATGCCAAAAATTGAACCTAGACCCACATCTGTCACCATACACTATACTAAAATTGAAATGGATCAAGCATTTAAATATAAAAACAGAAAAACTTAATCTGCTGGAAAACAAAATAGGTAAAACTCTTGAAGACATAGATGTAGGGAAAGACTTTATGAACAAAACCCCGATTACACATGAAATATTACAAAGAATCAACAAGTGGGATCTCATCATATTAAAAAGCAATTGCACAGCAAAAGAAACCATCAACAGAGTGAAGAGATAACGCACAGAATGGAAAAAAATTTTTATCAGCTACTCCTCAGACAAAGGACTAATATGTAGAATATATAAAGAACTAAAAAAAATCAGACCCCCCAAATTTAAAGACCCAATCCCAAAATGGGCATCTGAAATGAACACACACTTCTCAGATGAAGAAGTACAAATGGCAAATAAATATATGAAAAAGTGTTCAACATTGCTGGTCATTCAAGAAATGCAAATTAAAACAACACTGAGATTCTATCTCACTCCAGAAAGAATGGCAATAATCAAGAAATCAACCAATAACAAATGCTGGCAAGGCTGAGGCTGTGGGGGAAAGAGGAACACTTCACTGTTGGTGTGAGTGTAAACTGGTACAGCCAGTATGGCTATCAGTACGGAGAATCCTTAGAAAACTGAAATAGAGGTTCTATTTGACCCAACTATTCCCCTTCTAGATATCTTCCCAAGAGAGTTAAAAGTTCACATCACAGTGATACTATATATGCATACCAATGTTTATATCAGCACAATTTATAATAGCTAAATCTTGGGAACAGTCCACATGCCCATTAATGGATGAATGTATAAAGAAAATATGGTTTTTATATACAATGTTCTACAAAGAAGGATAAACTTGAGACATTTTTAGGTAAATGGATATATGTCAAGACCATAATTTTAAATGAAATAACTCAGACACACAAGTTTCAATATCACATTGTTTCTCTTGTGTGAGAAACCAAGAGGGTAGATAAGGAGCAAAATGGAGGATAGATATTGGGAAGTAGGAAGAACATGTTCAAAGGGAGAAGGGGAGGGAAAAGAGATTTTTTTAAAAAAAGAGAATGGAAGGAAAAAAATGGAATAAAGGTTTTGTAAATGGGGAGGGGATGAAGGGTTGAAGGGAGCAGAAGGGGATGGGGAAAAATAAGAATTAAGACTTATTATGTACACAAATTCCATATGATGAATGTGATTGCTATGTATGGCAAACATGTATTAATAAAAAATTTTTAACTTAAAAAATTACAAAAAATATTTTTTAAGTGCCAAAGATCACCTCACCCAATGTAAGTGTTAAATAATTGTAGTGCTATATAGGCATCATTATTTGTGAACTTCCTTTTATCAACCATCATGTAACTATAAATTAGTGAAACATATTTTTACTTTCTCAGATGTATAATGAACACCAAAACCCCAAACAACTAATAGTCCTTAATATCAGTTTATTAGTTTGACTTTTTTCCATTAGCAGTAAAATTAATGAAATCAGAAGATATGTAACCACTCAGCTGGCATGATGTGATTTGTCCTGATAAGTGGTTATTTGAAAAAGCCTAAAAGCCATTGTCAAGGTACATCAATCACTTACACTGTGTCGGGGTGTCACAGCGATGTAGCTGTAGCAGCATCTATTTTCACCTTCTAGTATGACCATAGAACCAGATCATTAAAGATCTCGGCTCTGTCCCAGCTGGACATCAGGCACAGCCAGTAACACACACCCAGGACACATACTTCTGTTTTCTCTTACTGTGGCCACTTTTCAGTATCCTTTGCTGGCTTCTCTTCCCTCGTTGGAGCTCCATCTGGGACCTTCTTATGCTATCCTCCTCCCCCAGACTATTTCAGGTAAACTTTTAATGTCTTCCATGTTTATTACTCAACTTACTTCTCATTGGAGCTACAGACCACATACTCACATGCCAACGAAACATACATATGTCCACCCAACACCTCCACTTTAGACTCTCACAAGCATCTCGAACTGAAGATGTCCAAACTAAACTTTTGATTTTCTCTCCCCAAATCGCATCCACCTCCAGTATTACTCATCTCAGGAAATGGCACTTTCATCTCCAAGGTTACAAACCTCCGACTCATCCTTGATGCCTTCTTGCCTCTAAAGCCCATACCCAGCCCGTATTTATTCCTGTCAACTGTATCCATAAAATATATTTCTGCTTCTCTCTATCACCAACACCACCACTCTGGGCTGTCACCTCAACTGCTGTAGTAGCCTTAGGCTGGTCTCTACTTTCCACCTCCTAGTCATCTAATCCATTCTCTACCATTTCAAAAGCAAGTAGTAACATCACTCCCCTTCTTGAAACTTCTATTGCTTTCCCATTGTTTGTAGAGATAAAATCCAAAAGTCTAGCCTGCCTCATCACTGGACTTTGTGAAAATGAGAAAAGCTGCCCCTTTGCTGCCATCTATTAACTGTAACAGATAGGAAGTCAGGATTTTGAATGTGAATAGCGCCCCCTGGAGTAATGCTACAGCCAAGGAGGTGTGACTGGCTTTTCTTTTTTTCTTGGAAGTTTTAAAGAACTTCTGTTGAATCCCTACACTTCAAAGCTCTCCTCTATTTCCTCCATCTCTCTCCTTTTCCAGAGTGAAAAGTTTTAGTTTCTGAGTTTTTAGAAAACTAACACATCTTTACTGTTATAAATTCAAATCATTCAGAAAACATTGGAAGAAAAATCACCTAAAATCTCACTACATTAAAATAAATGTGATAAATACTCTGGTCATCTTGTCACACATCTCTCTATGCATATACACAAATATAATGTGAAATATATTACATTGTTTGTACGTGCTGTTCTTCTTTGTAGGCACCATTTTCTTGAATAACTAATCTGAACATATCATTTTTCATTCTCATTAATCTTATGTAAAACCATATACTGTATTTGGTGCTATTGCCGTTATTTATTTTATAAAACCAGAATTTTATTTTACATATATGCAATGCATCCTGGGAAAACCTCTCTACTTTGTGATAGGAATATATCACAATATATTCAGTCTTTGTCCTGCAAATGGGCATTTTCTTAGTTTGAGTTCTTGCAATTATTAACAACACTGCAATAAATATCATTATATACATATGCTTATCTTCTAGTGTTTTTATTTCTGTGGTATTGATTTCTCATTTCCACCAGCAATGTCTATAGAGCCCTTTCTCTGAACTTCCTGTCTGCAGCAGATGCTATCATTTCTTACTGTCTTTTGTCAATCAGGGTGAGAATTACTGTATATCACGATCCAGGAGTAGTCCCTGTGCCCTGTGCTTCGTGGTCAAGGCATCATTGATTAGGCATTACTTTTCCAAATGAATTACTATAACATTTCTGGAAAGTAAACCAACTGGCTTGGGCTGGATGCTGCTCTTGCTCCACCATAAGGTCAGCAACAGGTCTAAGTGGGTCAGAGTGCTACCTCAATACTATCTTCCAAATCATAATTGCCATGTGTAAGCATGGTGGTGTAGAGAATGAATGATTACTTGGAGAAGAGACTTAGTTTAATCGTAAGAGCCCAGAAGAGCCATTTCAACCGAGAGCAGCCAGAGTTAGGCAGACTCCAAGAATAGCACTGAAGCTGTGAACTCTCAGGCTTTTATTTAGAATATTAGTATAAGAGAAAAAAAGCGGAAGAAAAACAATTTGGGCAAAAAGCTGTCTCGTGGCTGAAAGTTTTCTTGGGGAAAGGAGAAGGGCAATGGCCAGATACAACATCTAACTTCTTGTTGTTTAACCATTTACTTTTCACAGAGCCTGCACGCTTTTGCCTCGAAGTTTGACCATTCACTCCTCAGCCAAGTCTTCCACATCATATTCCCTGCCTCTATGGGGGAAATGAAAGAAATATTAGCCGTCATTGCTCTGTAATTCCAACTTCATAGCATCCTGGATGCAGAGGAGCACAGAGAGGCAATAGAGTGGAAAAGAAGGAACCCCGAAGCCTCAGAGGAAAGCCACAACGTGCATCAATCACGTCTCAATACTGTGGTCACACTCTGATCCAAGGACATGCAATCTGGGCCATGGAGCAGGGCAGCAGATGATGCAAAAAAAGGTTACAGGTTAAAGCTGAGATGGAAGTCACTTCTAAACAACCCATGGACTGTTTAGCCAAAGACATGGATAGGGAGTATACTTCTGGAAAGGGGCCGAGAGGTTTCCAGTTTAAGTTCCGACAGGACCCCAGGGCTACTTAAAAGCTAGACCACCCTCAAAAAAGATCCACACAGGAATATGCACTTTGTTTTAGCAATGATGGTGAGAGGAAGATTGGAAAGCTGCTCAGCTCTAGGGAATCCTTATGTCTCTGCCTGCACTTCTCTCCAAATCTAACATACTAGCTAAGGAGAAGGTTTCCCTGTCCTATAGGGGGCTTCTGCAGGTTCCGCAGAACACAGGAATGGCTAGGAAGATGCCTGCAGCAGGGTAACCACTGCAGAGAGGTGGGTGACAGCAGCACATCCCGAGCAACTGTGTATACATACACAGCTATTCTTTCCTTCTCATTCCTATAACCTTTCCAAATGGTATTTGCTTAAGATCTATCTTTTTGATGGTTTTTAATTCATACAGTGCACAACTATAATTAAAATCCATTATGCTCATTCAAGCTGCTTCTTCAGTTCTTGCCTAGAGAAAATGAAAGCCAGTGGGGACCTGAAAGTAGTCCCAAAGGAGTAATCAGGGTCCAAAAAGAACCCTGACCAATGACCCAGTACTTCCTAAAGGAATGGTAGAAATACAAGTTGAAATAAGAAGGAGAAATTATTTTCCATGACTCTTAATATCCAGGGTTAGACTATGCTGATAGAAACATTATATAGTTTTAGATAAGTAAGTGGTTGCTATAGAGGTCTGGAAAGAAACCTGGCAGCATCTACTAAACTCACAAACTTTGAGCAGTCTTACTTTTATGAGACTATCCTACAAATAAGATAGATAGATATATTTCCAAAATTGCTATATAGATTCCATGGAATCCCACCTGAAATCTCAGCAGCATACTTCATGGACCTTGAGAAAACAATCCAAAAATTCATTTGGAACAAGAAGAGACCCAGAATAGCAAAAGCAATTCTAGGCAACAGA